CCTGACTCTCAGAAACTGCATGAAGTAATACATGTTCATTGTTTTAAGCTACTGAATTTAGTCATTTACTGAGTAATTTATTTGTAACAATATACAACTATATGTGGTTCAAGTTTTAAAAAAATATAAAAAAGGATATAGCAAAAGTTCTTTGTCACTTTGACCTCTAAACTCTCACCTGGCCCACCATCCTCTCCCCCCACCCCTACTTAACTTGGAGTAAGCCCTTAGGAAATGTTATATTTATTATCTTGGATACGGAAGCAGACGTGCCCTTGGCCCCTCTCACAGATCATCTGACCCAAGAAAGGCTACAGCAGTATGGCATTCCCTTTCAGAAGCTGTAAAAATGTGCCCTTCTTTCTCCACAGGAACTGGGCCATTGGCCTTTTCAGCTTAGATGCCATTTTTCCCTGCCAAGGCCTCAGACACCCACATGCATCCCCACATCCTGTCTCAGGTCTGGGGGTGGGGGCTGCTTTTCTGTGCACACTGTGGAAAACATTACCTGGCCTTTTTCTTCAACCCATAGAAATCAGAAACCAACCACTCACCTCCCAACTTGTAGTCCCAGCTTCTTCTCCAGACTTCTCTCCCATAATGCTCCCCCTTCACCCTGCCTCAGTCCTACAGCCTTCAGCCCAGACTTCCGATCTGCTCTGAAACCCCTCTAAGACAGTGCTCACGCTGATCTCTCTGCCTTGAATGTTCTACCCCCCACCCACCCTTCTGAAAACAACCACCAATCTTCAAGACTCAAACGAGGGGTTATCTCTATGGCTCTTCCCCTGTCAATCCCACAGGTCTCCTTGCTTCCAACATAGCCCTGTCGGTCTACTGTGTGCTTCACAGCCAGAGGGACTGATGTGATGAAACCCAGGATCATGCTTCCAGTTCCAGTAAGATGGGTGAACCGTCTCCACCCTACCTCTGCGGCTGAAGGTAGCTCCAAATTCTGGTCAGAAGGCATGGAGCAGTTAGGTCAGGCCTCAAAAAGTCTACAGTAGCAGGCAGACGAGGGGGGAAGTACCGCCAATCTGGCAGTGGGTTTACACTTGTTTTCTCCTCTGGTATGCCCTGGGCTGTGTCAGTGTAGCCTTGAACCTAGGACAGGGCATTGGCGCAAGTGGAGGGAATGTCAGGAGATACCCTCCAGTTCTGGCTCCAGAAACAGGAATGAAGAATGAGGTCTCCTAACCTTCAGAGAGAGTGAGGGAGATCCCCATTTTTTCCCCATTCTCTTTTATCCTAGCCCCCAGTCCTCCCAGGTGGTGGAGGTAGTGGTGGGTGCTTACAAGAACCTGAAACTATGAGGAAGGAGAACCTTCCGCTCTAACTGAAGAAGCTATGGTCCCAAGATGGCGGGATGAGTCCATATTGCTGTGGCCCCAGATGTGGGTGCAGTTGTGGGAAAGGTACATCAGAGTCTGGTAAATAAAGCCTCAGGGAACCACAAAGTCGCAGGGAGCTGGCAAGGAGAGAGGAGTTTGGGAAAGTGACCCCACAAAGTTATGTATGGATTTTCTGGGCTCACCCCCTAGGTGCGCATGAGTAGATCTAGCCTAAACAGCCTACCACAGACTTTGAGAAACTTAATCACGAAGGCCAATGCCTGAGTTCCGGCCAATGAGTGACCCTCACAAGGGGCAGATGCACGTGGCATCACAAAGGGTTTGAAAACAGGACTGACCCTGGAACCACAACCCAGAGAAGGTAGGCATAGCTTGCAGCTTGAACCCACTTTGCCAATTACCTGCAAAGACAAAAATATCAATATTTTCTACAGGATTTAAATGTGGCCCAGAGCATTAATATTAAATATTAATTAAAATTAATATTAACATAATCTTAAAAAGGTCCAGGGCAAATTACTTGCAAGATAAAGAAGCAGGAAAATTTCAGCTAGCTTGAGGAAAGACAAGGAAAGATGCCAACTCTAAGATGTTGGAATGATCTGAAAAAGCCCTTAAAGTAACTGCTGCAAAAATCCTCCAAGGATGGGACGCCTGGGTGGCTCAGTCGTTAAGCGTCTACCTTCAGCTCGGGTCGTGATCCCAGGGTCCTGGGATCGAGTCCCGCATCGGGCTCCTTGCTCTGTGAGAAGCCTGCTTCTCCCTCTCTCTCTGCTGCTCCCCCTGCTTGTGCTCTCTCTCACTCTCTGACAAATAAATAAATTTTAAAAATCTTTAAAAAAAAAAATCCTCCAAGGAGAGCATGGGGAGTTAGTGCTTGATGGGGATAGAGTTTCAGTTTGGGAAGGAAAAAGGGCTGGAGGTGGGTGGTGCTAATGGTTGCACAACAGTGTGAATGCACTTACTGCCACTGAACTGTATACTTAAAACTGATGAAAATGGTAAATTTTAGGGGGACCTTGCTGGCTCAGTCGGTACAGCATGCGACTCTTGATCTCAGGGTCATGAGTACAAGCCCTATGTTGGAGCCTACTTAAAAAACAAAAACAAAAACAAAACTCCAAGAAATAAGGATGCAGACTCTGAGCTTTCTTCAGCTTTTTAGTAAATACAAGATATATATTAAAGTTTCCATTTGATATCTGTATATATACCAAATATGTATTTGAAATTGAAAAAATACAATAACCCAAACTGAAAAGCTCAGTGGATGGGCTAAACAGCGGAACGGAGATGTCACAGGACAGAAAGAATCTATGAACTCCAAGCTGGGTCAGTAGAAATTACTCAGTCTGAACAACAAAGGAAACAAAGGTTGAAAAAAAAAATAAACCGGGTCTATGGGAGCTGTGGTACAAGAGCTCAAGGTCTAACAGAGCTATCGTCCAAGTAGCAGAAGGACAGAAGGAGTCCAGTGCACGGATGCTTTGAACAGCTCTATTCACTGTCCCTCCAAATTTGGAAATGACCCCTTCGGTGGGTAAACCCATAAACAGAGCGTGGTACATCCATTCAATGAAACACAGCTCAGCAATAAAAAGGAATGAACTACTGACACCGGCTACAACTTAGGTGAGTCTCAATGGCATCATTCTGAGTGAAAGAAGCCATTTCAAAAGGCGACATACTGTATGATTCCATTTATGTGACATTCTCCAAAAGACAAAACTGTAGTGATAGATCAGTGGTTAACACAGGTTAAGGGTGGGGAGAGTGTGTCACTACAATGAGAAACACAAGGGTTTTTTGAGAGGTGATGGAACTGTTCTGTTTCCTGTTTGTGGTGGTGGTTACGCAAATGTACATGTGTTAACATTCATAGACCTACATACAAAAAAAAAAAAGAGTAAATTTTACTCTATGTTAATTGAAATAAACAAAAAAACTTGTGGTAGGGGCACCTGGGTGGCTCATTTGGTTAAGTGCTTACCTTCAGCTCAGGTCATGATCTCAGGGTCCTGGGATCGAGCCCTGCACTGGGCTCCCTGCTCAGTGGAGAGTCTGCTTCACCCTCTCCCTCTGCCCCTCCCCCTGCTCATGCTCTCTCTCTCTCATAATAAATAAAATCTTAAAAAAACAAACAAACCTATGGTAGTCAGGCTCCAAGATGGCCCACAATGATCCTCACTTCCTCACGCATCTGCCGTTGTGTGGACTCCTGTCACCTTGGAGAGGGCTGGTCTGTGTGACCAAAAAAAGTGGCAGCAATGTTGGGTATGATTGAAGAGGCCAGGTCATAAAAGCCTTTGCAGCTTCTGTCTTGCTCTCCTGAATCACTCACTCTCGGGGAAGCCAGCCAGTATTGTGAGGACACCCCAACAATCCTGTGAAGACAAGCTGAGGCATCTCACCAACAAATTCCACTGCTGGAAACATATCCTACTGATGTATTTGCCCGTGTGGGAGATGGTGCCTGTGCACTGCCGCTTTGCTCATGGTGGCCAAAACATCACACTTAAATACCTCACAATAGGCTAAATGCATTATAGTCCATTCATGTTGTGGAATGTTCGGAGGAGGGTAAAAAGAATGAAAAATATCTGCATATCTGCTATTGAAAAAACTCTAAGTGTGTTATACAAGAAAAGCAAAAGCCAGACAGTATGATTTTGTGGGTTCTTTTTTTTTTTTTTTTAGAGGATATACACATGGATGTATTTCTAGAGAGAGTATGAAAAATTTCTGGAAGACATACAGCGTTTGCCTCTGGGGAGCATTCTGGGCTAGAGCAGGCACTTATTTTCACTGTACAGGTATATTCTTTTTTCCTTTTTCAATGTTTTACCTTGAGCGTGAATTTATTTTCAATAAAATGTTTGAATAACTTACACAGTCAGAGCCCTTTGGCACTGCCCTCAAGGGGCACCGTGGGGACCCTTCCCTCATAGAGGGCTCAGAGGAGCCCTGAAAAGCCCCTCCTTCCACCATCACCATCTGCCCTTGACCCAGAGACAAGACCTGATTAAAATCCGATCAGGGGCGCCAGGGTGGCTCAGTCATTAAGCAGCTGCCTTCAGCTCAGGTCATGATCCCAGGGTCCTGGGATTGAGCCCCCTGTCAGGCTCCCTGATCAGCAAGGAGCCTGCTTCTCCCTCTGCCACTCCCCCTGCTTGTGATCTCTCTCTCTCTCTCTGTGTCAAATAAATAAATAAAATCTTTAAAAAAAAATCAGAGCAAACACTCTAGGTTTCAGAACCTCCTCTGGCTCCCCAAGAGAAAAGCCACACCTCTTAGTTTGGTATTTTAGGCCCTTCACACACACATGTGCAGCCTCATCTCCGGTCTCCACCGCCCTGGATCCCCGCACAGCACTGCTCACTGCTCCCCACAAACTTAGCTCTCTTTCTGGTTTTCACTTTAAGTCTTTCCTCTCAGTTGTTCTAAACCCACAGTCACATCAACCGCCCCAACGCCCAGCTCTGCCGGTGCCACTTCCCTTGCATCGCTGGGTCCCTGACACTCCCAGGAGTACAAGCTCTTCACTCTTGCCTTTGAGCACCGCCCCCCACCATGTTCCAACCGCAAGAATTTTCCAAACTCTTCCCCCAATCCAACTAAACTAGACCAACTGTGGTCCCCTCTTTGTACCTTTGCTCACATGGTGTCCTCCATCCAGACTTCCCTTTCCTCTTCCGCACGTGCACCTGTTGATAACACATCCATCATTCAACTCAACTCCAACCTTCTCTGTGAATCTTGCACAAGGTCAGAAGTCATCACAGCTTCCCAGACCACTTTCTCTACATTTCAGTCATTCAACTCATATTCAGTGGGCACTCTTCAAAGGTGCATACCAGGTCAGGTGCTGGTATAGGGAGATACATCAGGCATGGTCCCTGCTCTTGGGGAAGCTCTGGTCTAGCTGGGGAAACCAAGAAGCAAATGTCCTCAGATAAGTGACCCAAGAGGCAGCCCAGCACAGGGGTTAAGTACACTGGCTCTTATCTCCTACTTCCAGGGTTCAAGTCCTAGCTCTACCACTCACAAGCTGCGTGACCTTGAGCTAGTTGCTTTGCCTCTCTGTGCCTCGGTGCCCTTATCTGTAAAATGGAGATAATAGGAGGACCAACTTCACAGGGTTATTCGGTGAGCTAGATGGTGTAGCTTATATACAGTGCTTAAACACAGCCTGACAAGTGGTAAACAATACATACTGGTTATTACCACAATTTCAAGGTGCTATGGCAGCTCAGGAGAGGAAAATTTCTTAGAATAAGATCTAGAAACTCTAATGAGTATGATATAAGCAGAGAGAAAGCCTAGACAATAGTGTGGAGATGTGAAGGGGAAGTGGTATATGAATGCACAGTAATTTCAGGACTAGCTCCCCCCTTTGACTGCCTCCTGGGTCTTGTTCTGGGGGTCTTCAGGGCCTAGCAGAGAGATCTGCTCTCCCAGATTTCATCTTCATAAGCCACACCACATCCTTTACTTAATATATTTCTCTAAATCAACTTGCTTTTTGTAAACTAAATAAATTTCTTAGAAGGAAACTGTAAACCACATCTGTAAATGAAAAAAACACAAATACAAAGCATCTCCAACATAAATATAATGAAAGCAAAACAGTGTCACTAAATTCAAGCTAATGTGACTCTGAGGTCTGCTCTCAGACCTGTTACCCGGACGGATTATTAGCAAATGGTAGAGAAATTAATGACATGTTGGCATTGAACTGAGACTTTCTCTTTGGCATTGTTAGCAGGACTGAGAAAACAAGAAGATAATTCTTTTTTGCTAGTGCCCTGTACCTCCTAAAACATCACACTCATTGTTAGAAAGGGAAATATCCCCCCTTGCAAGACAGTACATGTGAAATGGCTTGGCATGTTGCCAATTTTTTGAATTTTAGAGAGGCAGATTTTCAGAGAGGGATGGGGCATCCTCCCAGTCTCCTCCTCTGCCACCCCTGGGTGGGCACTGTTCCTCACTTCTGCTGAATCACTCTACTTGGGGAAGGAGGCAGTTTCTGGGGAATGCCTTTTGTCCCTCTCCATGTCCCTCTTGCTGTTTACCTGGTTGGGCTTGGTGTCCTGAGCTGATGATCAGTAAAGGATTAGATGTAAAAACAAACCAAACCTGCTTGTCCTTAAATAATGTTATTTCAGGGTAAACGTCTCAACCCTGAAATAAACCAGCTTTCAAGTAATAATTTGAATTAATTCTGACATGATCCAGAGTGCAGGATTTGCCTTCAGGCTATGGTTTTTTGTTTTTGTTTTTGTTTTCTGTCAACTCCACTAATGAAAGAGAGAAAACGGAGGAGGAAAAGGGACCTTGATTTCGGGCCAGGGAAATCTTACTATTCACTAAGCTTTTTTGAAGTGATCGGAACACAGAAATGAGAGCTCACTTCTTCCTTCCTCCCTCTATCTCTTCTCTCCTTTTTTTTTTTTCTTTCTCCCCTCCTCTCCCCTCCGATGCGTGTTTCTGAAGGATCTATGATGTATCAGGATAGTGTTTCCCAGCTTTGGTTCCTTTGAATACCAGCTTCTCCATTTCTGCCTAATATATAACCCACCTCTACTGGTAGTTACTTCCATTTTTTGAAAATGTGATTCCCATTGTTTTACTTATATAAAATCGGTCCCATCCTAAAACAGTGAAATCCATTAAATCAAATTCTGTCTAGTTCTACATTTCCCCCAACGCACAGTAAGAGAAAAAAAAAAATGTTACAAACCAAACTGAACACTACCAGGTACCTCAAGCTACCCCACTGACTACAGTTGGAGGAACCTTCAAGGCTTGCCGGGGCGGGACCTGCAGAGAAGGCCCTCCCTGCTCCCTGAACGCTTGTTGGCTGATCACAGTGCATAGTGTTGCACAAACTTTAGCTCCTGGAGAGAGTGTTAAAATATTCCTGGGCCACATCCCAGGGTTTCTGACTCAGCAGGCCTGGGGTGGGGCCTGGGAGTCTGCCTTTCTAACAAGCTGCCCCAGGTGATGTTGATGCTGCTGGCCTGAGGAGTCCTACTGCTGGTCCTACTCCTACAACATAAGTAGGTCTTGGGCCACTGGGCATCAAAATCACTTGTAGGTGCTTCTTAAAATGCAGATACCTGGGGGTGCCTGGGGGGCTCAGTTAGTTGTCTGACTCCTGATTTCCGCTCAGGTCGTGACCTCAGGGTTGTAGGATCGAGCCCCACATCAGGCTCCGGGCTCAGCACAGAGTCTGCTTGTCCCTCTTCCTCTGCTCCTCCCCCTGCTTGCTCTCTCTCTCAAATAAAATCTTAAAAAAAAAAAAAAAAAAAAAAAGATGCAGATACCTGGGCACTACCCACAAAATGTTCTGATTCTTCAGGAGGGTGGGTCCCTGGACTCTGCCTTGTCAACCAGCTCTCCAAGGAACATCTGGAGACCAACTCTGACGCTGTTTGGACCACCATTAGCACCTGGAACTTGGAGGGAGGTGGCCTCACCTTCAAAGTCAGTCTGCAAATCAGGGACAACTTCCCACTGCTTGGGCCCTAAACCTTAGAGCATCCTGGACTTCCCTGTTTCCCTCCTAGCCTCCATTCAGTGGGTCAGCAAATTCTATTGGCTCTTCTTTCAAAACACATTCAAATTTTCTTTAAAAGACTCTAGTACATGGACTTGGGGATGGAATGGTAAATGAAACAAGACTGTTAAAATGCTGAGGATTATTGAAATTGGGAGTTCACTTTATTACTCACAAATTTTATGTAGATTTGAGTTTTTCCATAATAAAAATTTTTATCTTTAAGTCTTTGATCTAAAATCCATTTCTGGGAATTTACCCTAATGAACATTTTAGATACAGAAAAAAAAGTGCAAATAAAAATATCATTCAAATAATAATAGTGAATAATTGGGAACATACTAAGTTCTCCTAATAGGACAATAAACTGTGGGACACTCCTCAATGCAATTTTGTCATTAAAAATTTATTCAGGCCATGTACCAACATGGAAAATGTGATATACTATTAAGTGAAAAACAAGACATTAAATTGTATATGTTGCATGATTAAAACTATACAAAGACTCCTATCTTTAAAAAAGATTGAAATTTAATGGGGTGACTGGCTGGCTGAGTCAGAACACCTGACTCTTGATATCGGGGTTGTAGTTTGAACCCCACGTTGGGTGTGGAGATTACTTAAAAATAAAATCTTAAAAAAATAAAAAAGTTTGAACTTTAAAAATAATTTTATATATCCAGAATCTGCCCACTTCCCACTACCTTCAACGCAACAACCTTTGCCTGAGCCCCACCATCTGGCCTGCATCCCTGCATCAGCCCTGCAATGGTCTCCCTGCTTCTACCCCTCCCATCTTTTTTCCATGTGGCAGCTGGGGGGGGGTCCTTCAAACTATAAACAGATCATGACCCTCCTCCATTCAGAATCCTGCAAAGGCTTCCCATTTCTCCAAATAAAAGTCTTGACTTTACCACCACTGCCCTCCAGGATATAGGACCTTGACTACTCTGTTTCCTGCCTTGCTCTGGCTCCTCCAACCGAGCTGGCTTCCTGGCCATGCTTCACTCACTCACTCCAGCTTCAGGACCTTTGCACCTGCTGCTTCCTCTGCCTGGAATGTGCTGCCTCCAGGTATCTGAATGAGTGGTCCCCTCCTTCCTCCTGGTGGCTCTTCAGAGAGGGCTTACCTGAACTCCTCATCTAAAACAGCACTGCTCCCTCTCTCAACTCCCCCATACCCTTTATTTTTCTTCATAGCAGTCAATACCCTCCCTGATAAAATTTGTTCCTTGCGTCCTATACTTAATGCAAATCCCTTGAGAACAAAGGCTTTCTGTCTGATTCTCTGCTGAATCCTCATACCTAGCACAGTGCCTGGCACACAGCAGGTGATTTGAATGAAAGAATGGCGGGCTAAACACTCAAAAGAACTGTAAGCTTCATGTGGGCTTTCTTTCCTGGGTGATCTCTCCTTCCCCCAAACCTCCTGGCAGTGACAGACCCATACACAGCAGGAGCCCAGTGGGGGAACTAAAGTGGATGACGGGTCTCCCACCCGAAGCCTACACACACACCCCGTGTAAAGTGCATCCTGTGAAGTGGTGGCAGTAGGGTATACGGCTAATGGTAATGGCTTTGGGAGGGCAGATGCTGGCTTAACACCACCAGTTATGTGGCCTTGAGAAAATGATGAGAATTTTCTGAGTGTTGGTTTTTTCCTGTGCAGAAGGAGAAGGATATTGACAGCTCCTACTCCCCAGGGCTGGAATCAGGTCTCAAGTCCCATAAAGCACTTAATAAGCACAGTGCCTGGCACAGAGTAGGTGTGCAACAAGAGGCCATCAAATTAATCAACAGCCATATATATACGTGCCTTTGGCTCTTTCAGTTTACAAAGCGCTCTTATGCCTGCTTTATCTGATGGGAGCCTTTCAACAACCCTGTCTGTTTTATCATCATTTTTATAGGCGAGGCAACTGGGTCAAAGAGGAGCAAAGTGCTTGCCTATGGAACACAACTGAATCTGACTACAACCCGGCACCCTCTTGTCCAGAAACACAGCTATTATCACTGCCAACGCTAATCAAAGTGGTCTGGATGGCCCGTTAGAGCCCCAGACTCTAAAGCATGTGCCTAGTGTGAGGCTGTGATCAGCAAATGAATTCAGCCAACAAAATCAGCCAATGAGCCACACCTTCCCAACGACCCCACGGAGGCAGGGGTGCTCAGGCTCCCGTACCTCTGAATGAAGCTTGTGAACAAGTCCAGACAGACGAGCCATGTCTCAGAGTCCACCCAGGATTTAGAATATTTTACTGTTTTCCCAAGAGGGAAAACACAAAAGCCCTTTCTCTAGTTTCTCTGCTTCAAGTCGGGTGACAGCTCTGAGCAGCAAATGCCACCTTTAGTGTTTGAGATCCTTGTCGCTCTGCCACCTCTGGCCCAGTCTGCCTCGACAGAGACAGTGTTTCTTCCCAAAGGTAATCTGAGGGGGAGGCCCTGCATGGAGCTTTGGGCCTGGCTCTCATCAGTTTCCTCTACCTTCCCAGGACTGAAGGCCAAAGGAAGTCACATGGTGGGGAAGAGACCAGCAGGTGTTAGACATGAATTTTAGAACCACAAGGCCAAAACACCATAGACTCTTAGGAGTCATGGATTATCACAACTCTAACATCTGAGAGACAAACTCACGACTTTTTAGCCTCATGGGGCTGGCAGAGATTCCACTGGATGGGAAGGGGCAGATTGGGAATCTGATGGCTTCTGGGTCAGGGGCATCTCATCCGGTCAGAGGCTTAGCAAACATGCCCTGGTGAGAATATGGCCTGAGGGCTCCAGCCCCAGGAGGGAGGGTCGAGGGACAGGCCTTGGATAGCAACTTAATGGCAAAATTCTACAACCAGGCCCCTTGGGAAACAGATGAAAGGGGAGAGGGCAGCCTTCAGAAGGATGCCACCGGGCCATCCAGCCCTGGGCCC